TGCTAATTATGTCTTTATATGGGGGGGAGAAGTAGGGGGGAGAGGACTGGAATCAGGCATGACCCATGAGATGGTCCTTAAAGAACATCTATGGGGATTGGCATAGATGAAGCACTTATATTTGAGGTGCCTTCAAAGCAAATCCAGATACACAAGCACCATCTAGGAGTCATCTGTAAAACTCCAACTCAAGCCCACCCAGCTAGCCAAAGACAAAAGATTTTTACAGGGATAGCTCCCTCAACACTCAGTATTTGCATAAAAAACTAAAGCATCATATTAATCACAAGTAAATACTGTGCATACTGTAAGATGAAACAGAATTAACTTGTCATCTCTATCAATATATCTTCTAGTAAACCCCTAAAAATGGACTGTTCATGCTTGATTACTCACCTTTTCCCACCAATAACCTAGAGTCTGCTGGTTGATTGCTATGCATTTTATAAATATGCAGTGGGAGAGATATATGCGTCTGTGCTCCATCCATGAGGGTGAAACTCTGTGTTCACCCTCACAGTCCTAAAAGACTGCAAGAAATCCTTGCAATGGCATCATCATCATCATCATCATCACCACCACCACCACCCCGTGGCTAACCATCCTGGATCTTTGCAAATGCCAAGCTCTGTGCTACTCGCTTCACATATATTGTCAAGCAGTTAATAATTATTAGAATCGTGGGTCTGAGGAGGTTAGTTACAAAAACCTGAAAAGGTTTCTGTTGGGAACTGTGACTTGAGTTGCTGTGCAGATGTTGTCAACAGTAAAAATTCTCAAATGTTGGATGAATACAGCTAGCCGGCAGGTTTGAGACTGCTGTGGCTGCTTTGCTTTATGTTCTGGGAGTTGGTGCCCTGATAAATTCTGTGAGGATTATTTTCTTAGTGCAGGTAAGGAGGAAAAGTTGCAGCCAGCAGCGTTCTTTGTGCAGAGAAAGGCAAGGACAAATTGCACCCTCTAATTCTCTGGTTGAGAGAACACTGGCTCTCAGTTGCATATCCACCATGCAGGCGGTTGGCTGTGGCGGGGCAATTCAGAGGTAGCAGTAAGTAAAGCAAACAGAAAATCCTCTGACACTCTCACCGGTATATATATATATTTCTTCCATCCCTGTGTTATTGTGGCTTGCCTCGGGTGAAACAGCCTCCTAGGAGTGAGGCATGAGGGGGGCTGACAAGCATTTTCCCATGAATAGCAACTACAATACAATGGCATTTTGTCTGCTGGTTTTGTCTCCTTGTCTTCTAACATTCTTTCTGACTTTCAAGCGGAAAAAAAGAAAAAGAAATGCTCCTATGAATAGCAAAGAAAAGTTTCTTTTAAACGTTCAACCTTTTTCATTTGGTAGCATGTAAACGTTTTCCCCCATGGTATATGTGTGGGTAGTCCTTTCAATAACGTGGTTTTTGTTTTGTTTTGTTGTTTTTGCCACATAAGATTGCCTTTCCATTATTGATTTAGAAATTGGCAGGGGGAAAAGTCAACCGTGTACACATACTAAGAAAAGAGAGACAGAGGAAGATGGATCAAACCATCCATCTACCCATGTGGCCATTTTTCTACCGATCCATCTCGCTTCCCACCCGCTTCTATTAAAATAAATAGCAGGAACTGTACACACTGCTGGTTGGCTGAAGTTGTGATCTGGACAAAAGGTCTGTTTGGAAAAAAGGATGCTGAACCTTTAATTCTATTTGTGCCGGTTGAAAATCAGGAGGGGTTTTTCTACACTTCACTTTTATTAGATTATTTCTTATAGATGGCTTCTTTTTTCCTCCCAGACGCGTGGTGGCGGCTGCTGAAGCAGTTGGTCTATAGTTGGAATAATTAAATTAACCATTTGGTACAACTTTTAGGGGAGAGCTCGCGTGTAGAAAGCACAGCGGGGACAAAGCAGAGAGCTGGGGCTGGAGCTCTGGCCTGGCCCAACCCCACTAGCCTTTCATCGCTGAGCAGCATCAGGACCCCGAGTCACAAAAGAGGGGCCAGGGTTGGGGAAGGGGCGGGTGGGAGGGACGGTGACACTGAACAAAATAAACCTACAAGTCCTACAAAGGGGAAAATGAAGTCAAGAGCGTTTGCTCATCCAACCGTGCGGTTCTAGCTCGGAGAAGGTCTTCGAGGAGGCGCAGAGCGCACGGGCCACACCAGGATGGGCACCAGGGGGCGTCTGGAGGGAGACCAAGGATGGTCCACAGAACAGGGCTGGCACCCTGAAGGCGGCTGGCGCGACCGAGTGGAGGCAGCTTGGAGCCAGACTAGAGGGAGCCCTGAGCTGGCGCCCTGCGGTGGCTTCGTGGCTTCAGCTGGGCTTGTCCCTCCTCCGAAGGCATTTCCCTTGTCGGGATTCCTGGTCCTAGCTCACCCTTTCTCCTGTCCAGCAGGGCCCTGAACTGCATAGCTAGGACCTCTATCCAAAGTTCTTTAAAAAAAAAAAAAAAACAGCCCCTTGTGTTTTAACGACCTAGAGTCCCTGAAGTCTGTTGTAAAGAGTCATGTGAAGGCTGTTGGAATGCAGCGTGAAAATTCGTGTCATGCAGGGCTGATGTAGGGATCTGGGCTCCGTTGAAAAGCAGCTGCCAAGAGCCTTGGTAGCCTGCAGTGGAACACCCCGAGATGCACCTCAGGCAGACTGTGAACCTGGGCTTTACCTAACTTGGGCCTTAGGGACTAAACACACACCCTCCCAGACTCCCCCAAATGTCTCCTTTGCAGAAAAATAGCTTAAAATCCACCTGTGCCAGGAATTGCTGGCTGGCCCGTGTTGATCTGGCCTAACCTGGCCTAAACCCCACCCCTTGGCATCTCAGAACGCTGGTCTGAGCTACAACATCCCTTTCAGAAAAACCAGGACACACTCTTCTCCTTTTAAAATCTCCCCTCACCCCTAAGTCCAGGAACAGAGAAACTTGGACAATCGTAGCCTTGTGCTTGGTAACTTATCCCCCACCTCCCTGAAGTGGAAGGCAGTGGGAGAATACCAGTGAGGGAAATTCCATGTGGAGTCCATGGGGGTACAGGCACCTCCCGGTCCAGATGCAGATTCATATTCATGAGGGAGCGATAAATAAAGACAAATCCGCGCTGTAATAACCCTTGGATTCGCATCCGTCTTTGCAGGGCTTTAGGTTCAGGGACTGGAGACAGATGTTTGCATCCCCCTTTCTCCTCTCGTCTGGTGACCATAAAGAAAAACCATTTAGAGTGTTGCAATTTGTTTCCCGCCGCAGTCAAACCTTGGACGCATTTATTTTCATTTCCCCAGCTGCACAAAAAGGGTGCACATTGGTCACCAAGGGTCCTTCTTTATCAAATACGCATTGTATAGCGCACAACTGCAATAAAACTATCAGCCCTCCCCATAAAACTATCACCAGTTTCCTCGGTGGGTTCTCTTGCCTGAACTTGCCAGTTCAGCACTCTTGGGTCCAGAGAGGATGCGCAAACACCTGGGCAGAAGCCGAAAGGGCTGGGGGCCGCTGTCCGGGTTTAATCCATTGCCGAGTCTGCAGCGGTTTAGAGCGTAATAAAGCAGGGTAGCAGTGGAGAGCGGGCGCCCATCCACTCCCCGGCACTAGCATCGAATTAAACCACTTAGTTTGGCAAACACTGAACGCCTAAATGCCCCTATAAAGACTTTATGAGTTTGTTACTTTAATTACTGACTTGTTACAGAGCACATAAAGGGGGTAATGAATGCAATAAAACTAATTATCTACACATTTAATTCATATAAAATATCCAGGGTTTGTTTACACCACACGGCGATTCAACTAAGCATTCCCCCCTCTTGTCCACCGAGAGGAAGGATTTAATGAAATATTTCCCTTTATTCTGCTAGAGTCTAACGAACCAAATGAAAATTACCCTCCGCTTAAATCATGGGGCCACCGAGGTCCACAAATCACGGCTGCCTTCTTTGTCTGCGCCTCCTTGCTAGAACCCAAGAGCCCGAGGAATCGAACTAGGAAAGTGCGCTGCCTCAAGCCGTTGCCTTGTTCGTTTTGATAGCAAGGATGTCGCTCAGTGAAGTCAGAAAACCTAAAGGGCAAACAGATAGGAATCCTCTTTGGGAAATCTTGGGTCTGAGGGAGATTGTGGGCGCCTGAAAAGGCGAGAGGCGAAGGAGAGGGAGAGGGTAGAAGGCTGGAAAAGGAACCCCCGTTTGGGTGCATTTCGTGCTGGGCATGGTAGCTACCGAGTAATTAAAACGAACAACCACCGCGGGGAAGCTTCACACACACAACTGCAAATCTTCACTAACGCAGACAGACACAGCCGGCGCCGAGCGCAGAGAATCGTTCGGTGGGGAACCCAGATGTTTTACCTTTGAGAGCTTTACCCGGTTGTTTATTTTACTCTTGTAAAGGGGCTGCCTGCCCACGTCTCTGGAAAGCACATTAAGCTTCGAGGAGAAACACAATTGATAAGATACTATTTCTCTTTTCATCCCCTTCGACCAGGTGTATTTTAAAGAAATCCGCTTATCCTTATCGTTCACATAAAATCCCCTTGGTCCACTTACGCTACGTTTACAGGGCGCCCGAGTCTTGCCAATGCCCCAGTCCTTCATAACATTTCATGCACTTCGGGGGGTAGGCTTGTTGTTAAATTGAGCGTGTAACACTCTTACAAAACAGGTTTTCTATGACATCAAGGTTTCTTCTCCCTAACCAAGAAAAAAAAAAAAAGAGGACGAAGAAGGGGGAAAACACACTATCTCAATTTATGCCTAAGGTATATGATCAGTTAAAAAGGCTTAAAAGCTCTTGGAAATTGGATCAGGGAAAATCGTCACCCAACTTTCATTATTTCCAAGTAGCGTGATTGAATTAAAGGGCAGGAGCTGGTTAGAAGGGAGGATCAGGGGCTCGGTGCGTAATGGTGTGGTATTAAATTCTAATTAGAGATGCAGGAATCAATGATAGGGAGGTTGGACAGCTCAGTTCCCCAGTGCCAGCCCAATAGACGGATGAGTTATTGTCATGTAAAAAGCGCCAGCAATAAGACCAACCGCTTTGCTATTGTCCAAGTGGAAAGAGCCAAGTTTATTATGAGGACTATATGCTCTAGAGACCTCAGACAAGGCATCTCATAGGAGGCTTTTTCATAAAACTAGGCTCTGCTGGTAGTAAGGAGGCCAGTTTGGAGGCAGGCGTTGAGCGGTGCACATCTCCCCTCTCCAGCACCTTCTCCATACCCATCTTTTATTTCATTTTTCCACTTGGCTGAGCCATCCAGAACCTTTTCAATGTATAAAATGGAATATTCTTACCTCAATTCCTCTGCCTACGAGTCCTGTATGGCCGGGATGGACACCTCGAGCCTGGCTTCAGCTTATGCAGACTTCAGTTCCTGCAGCCAGGCCAGTGGCTTCCAGTATAACCCGATAAGGACCACTTTTGGGGCCACGTCCGGCTGCCCGTCCCTCACGCCGGGATCCTGCAGCCTCGGCACCCTCAGAGACCACCAGAGCAGTCCGTACGCCGCAGGTAAGGACCGCTAGCTCTCTTGGCGGAAGAAGCCGCCTTTCTGCTCGTATATAGGAAGCCTTGATTGCATTTGAAAATGGAAATGTGTTTAGTATTTACCAAACGAAATTTGCTTACACAAATGAAAGAATTTATCACGTTAGAAGCGATTGCAGGGAGGGGTAATTCACTTACAGGGTTACACTATCCTAGTCACACCCGAACCGCCAACAAAATTATCTTAAGCTGCCAAAATGATAGGCATAATTTATTTACTTTGCGATGAGACGTAAAGCTTAGAAAATAATTAAATAACAAAGAGTAAAGCTCATTACCGGCGGTGTCTCTTTTTTAAAGAACCGACAGAGGCTCACACCTCTTTGGCCGGTCATTTTTATGATCATTTCTTGAATTTATTGTTGTTTCTTTTTAACAGCACTATCCCCCAACTTTCGGGCGGTGTCAACTTCAGAGAATTGAAAAGTTGCAACAGTGGGATTGAGTGGTAACTTCGTCCCGGTCTTTCTGATATTCCAACTGATGTTTTTGGGCTGTTTTCTTGCTGAATGTACTGTTCTAGGCTCCGGGGCTCAAGTGGTCTCCAACTTGCTATTGCAACCCACCAAAGACACTTGGGCCACAAGAACCCACACAAAGTCTCACTCGTGCCCTGCTTCTGCATATTACTAATTTGTTGGGTTTTCTTGACAGCTCGCCGCTGGTGTCCGCAGCGCAGCGGCTCCCGGGCTATCTGACTTTGGGTCCCCACGTCCTGGCTCGGCGGCCCTCAAACTTCTGGCTGTTTTGCTCACTCTGTCCTCCTCTGCCCTCCTCTAGTTCCATACAAACTCTTCACGGACCACGGCGGTCTCAACGAGAAACGCAAGCAGCGGCGCATCCGCACCACTTTCACGAGCGCGCAGCTCAAAGAGCTGGAGAGGGTCTTCGCGGAGACGCACTACCCGGACATCTACACCCGGGAGGAGCTAGCGCTGAAGATAGACCTCACCGAGGCCAGAGTCCAGGTACCAGAGACTGGGTGCCACAGCAGCAGCGGGGTGGGGGGGTGGATGCTGGTTAGAGTTCCAAAGGGACCCAGGACCGGTCAGACAAATGGAGTCTGGAGTGTCATGTGCGCACTAGGTGGGCCTGGGACACACACTCTGGGCAATTTGTTGACAGCCACAAAGGGTTTCCCACCGGAGCAGGGGGCTGGGAGTTTGAATGGGAGAGAGGAAGTGCCCGGTGAGAGGAAGATCGCAGACTTTGCCTGTGTCTCTGTCAGCCTGGTTGTCTTCATTCCGTTGCTAAGTGTCTCCTAACTCGAGCGCCTTTAAAAACTTTGCACTGGGTGTATACGGTGCAATTTCCTAGCCACTAGGACTTGAAACAGATTCGTGAAGGGACCCTAAGGTGCGCTCTGGAGCTGTCAGCTAGCCCAGGGCAAGCTTGGTGCTCAAGACAGAGGCTCGCCTGCGGATAGCCAGTGGATGAGCTGCGGTCACCAAAGCGGAAGGTGTCTCCTTTAGACAGACTTGAGCGGGCCAGGAGCAGTCAGAGCGGTTTTAAGAGTGCATCAAAAGCAAAGCTTCCGTTTGGGGGCCTCTGCACCTGTCACCGCCACGTTCCTTTGAGCCCTTAGAAAGTTTCTCAGAAGAGGTACAAGCCGACTTGTCGAACTGTTGTCAATGGTCCGTGGGGCGGTGTGTGTGTGTGTGTGTGTGTGTGTGTGTGTGTGTGTGTGTGTGTGTGTGTGTAACGAAGTAGGTCATCCCAAGTGCCACTTTGCTCTCTGGTTTTCTTTCCCGGTTTCATCACCGCCCCTCTCTTTGGGCAGGTGTGGTTCCAGAACCGTCGGGCTAAGTTTCGCAAGCAGGAGCGCGCAGCAGCGGCAGCAGCCGCAGCAGCCAAAAATGGCTCCTCGGGCAAGAAGTCTGACTCCTCCCGGGATGATGAGAGCAAAGAGGCCAAGAGCACCGATCCCGACAGCACTGGGGGCCCGGGACCCAACCCCAACCCGACCCCCAGCTGCGGGGCAAACGGCGGCGGCGGCGGAGGGCCCAGTCCGGCGGGAGCTCCGGGGGCGGCGGGCCCGGGGGGCCCGGGAGGCGAACCCGGCAAGGGCGGTGCGGCTGCGGCGGCTGCTGCAGCGGCGGCGGCGGCAGCGGCGGCTGCGGCTGCGGCGGCTGGAGGCCTGGCTGCGGCCGGGGGCCCCGGACAAGGCTGGGCTCCAGGTCCGGGCCCCATCACTTCCATCCCGGATTCACTTGGGGGCCCTTTCGCCAGCGTCTTATCTTCGCTCCAAAGACCCAACGGTGCCAAGGCCGCCTTAGTCAAGAGCAGTATGTTCTGATCTGCGATCTGCGGCGGCGGCGGGCGAGCCCGGACCCGGGCTGGCGAGTGGGCGAGTGGGTAAACCCAAGGCGAGTGTCGCTGCTGCCAGTGGCTTTTTCATCGAAGGCCTAAACTGACCGCGATTCGAATAACGAAAAAATGACGTCGCTCCCATTTCAACCCAACTCCTACCCCTTCCCTTACCCCTCCTGCAAGAAAACAAACAAACAAACAAACAAAAAACTTCCCCGGCTTCGCACCTGCCTCAGGCTGCGCACAGACAGGGCTCCGCCTGCTGCCCAGGGGGGTGTGAGCAGCGTGGCCTGGACTTCAGGGCACTCTCAGGGGGGCTGTGTCTGAGTGTCGGGTGTATGTTTGTTTCGGAGAATGTGTGTCTGTGGCCCCATGTAGGTGGTAGGGAGAGATGGGGGACCACAACCAACTCAGTGACTTCTTAGAAATAAATTAAAAATTCGGAAGGCAGCAACGATAAAGAGTAAAATAAAATAAATCACAAAAGGTAAAAAGATCCAAATGGAGGGGACAAGTTAAAATACAAAGGGAGCTAAAGAGGACAGTGGCCGGAGCTGAGGATTTGGTCTTGCGAACCCCTAAACTGTACAGACTCTCATGGCTCCTCTTTAGGAAGGGCTATTGACGCCTTTCCAGCCCTGGTTCCCCTCAGGTCCTTGGGTCCGGCCACCGCAGTGATGCCTCACTCAGACTGTCCTGGCAGCCAAAGTGACTTTCTGGAGCCTGCTTGCCTGTCCCCGCCTCGCCAGAAACCATCTTGCCCTTAGCGCAGCTGATTGCCACACCGTTGCTAACCCCAAACCCGAATCTTCGCAGCCGCTTGGCCCTGAAAGACGCCCTGTACATGAGATGCCTTTTCATTCTCAAACTCTGCAACCCGAGTCAGTCTCACATTCACAGCGCTCCTTTTTTCTCTCCTGCTACCCCCACCGGCATTTTCTTCTCCCACCAGCTTTTACGGAACTTTTTGGCACTGCTTTGCATTGGAGTCGGTTGCAGTCCCACTTAGCTGGCTGCAGAGAAATCTACCCAGCAAGGGAAAGGCACACACAGCGTTTGCAGAAAGTGTCTTGGCTTGCATTTCTGATTGAGTGATCCGAGCTGGACTCATCCTGTAGGGTGGACGGACTGTATAGTGATGAATCCTTCTACCCGCAGTTTAGACATCTCTGTTGGGAATTTTGTTTCAATTTTATTTTAAAAGGCACAAACTATAGATATTAGTTGAATGTTGAGGCTTTAACTTTTTCGGTGTCTTTCTACAGCTGTGTTCTGTGACTCAATTGTATCGTGTTACCCTCAGTACAGACCGTCTCCACTGCGTGACTGTATGATGTTTTTTCTCTTCTTGTAGTCTCTATGGTGTGTCTTTATGGCGTAATAAGGTTCTCACGGGTTCAATTCCTTTGTGTTTAGAGAGACCAGGTTCAGACAATGGTATATATTTTTGTTATCAGGTGCATGTCTGTCTGATTTTATTTTCTTCTTGTTGGACTATGTTTGTGAACATAAGCGTCATAAGTTATGTTTCAGATTTTCAAATTTATTTATACGTGTGATAATGAATGCTTCTATTTAAAGGGGAAATATTTCTACATGTGCATATAGTTTTCCAAGAGTGTACCATTAACTTGATTGTTGATAATAAAAACAAAAAGCAAGTATAAGCAATTGAATGCTCCAGATATTCTCTTGAGTCTTCTTATTTAAATCAATCTAATTTGTAAGGGTTAAGGGCAGAAAAATTGGTACCAAGCATCTAGAGGGCTGAACTTTTAACCCAGGTACTTGGCTTGTGGACGTGAGCATTCAAACTGAGCCAAACTTGAATTTTATTGCTTGGGGAACAGGGGTGCATCTGCTCTGAATGGATTGGTTTCTCAGTAGGAATATTAGCGCCTGCCACTGTGGACTCAGTAGTAGCTAAGGCACAATTTGAGAACTAGTCTTTGAAGTGGACTTTAAGTAAAAGTTAGGGTTCTGTGTGCAGCAGCCTGCAGTGTCTATAAGTTAGCTCTGAGTAAGCCAGAGTCCCCAAGCCTCACCAATTGCTGTCACCCAGAGATATCCCAGTGTCTCTTTTTGTGGTCAAGGTGCAGGGCCTTTGGACCCTGCAGCAACTTGCTGTATTGGCATGCTGGGAGAAATAGTACCAACAGGTGGACTTTAGGAGGCACCTCACATGACAATTGTGCTTTAAGGCATTATCTCATCCACATGATACTATGTGGTTGCAATTCCTTTTGAACTAGATAAAGGAACATGGAGATAATGGAGACATTAACCAACTCAGGAGTCCTCCTGTTGAAGAAAGGTAATGCCAACCTTGGGACCCAAGAGTCTAACTCTAGAACCTATCCAGTAACCATTCAAGGTTCTAAAAGTGTAGCTCCCAGACAAGGAGCATCAGCAATACTTTGGGATTTGTGTGCACACATCTTTAGATCCCATCCTGGTCTTAGCTCTGAGTGAGACCCATTGACTGGTTCCTATCAGTTTACCAAGGACACCAGAGTTAATGAGGTCTACTATATTCTGTTAGCAACTCAAAGGGAAAGTTAAGAATTCTAAGTAAATTGGAAGCAGGTGTGTGTGCATGCTAGTGTGTGTGTGTGTGTGTGTGTGTGTGTGTGTGTGTGTGTGACCTGATAGCTGTAATGGTCCCCTTTCAGAATAAGGAGGTCATCAAGACAGCTCCAAGACATCAATCACTCTATGTCTTTCTCTCTTGAACTGTTTGAGTCACTTTTTCAAACAGGAGTCTTGTATGAATTGCTGACCCTTCAGTTTGGTTTTGGTTTTGCCCTAATAACCAATGATTAAGTTCCCTTCTGGGAGAAATAGCCACAGCCTGCCTCCTTTGATCTGAGTATAAACAGTCAATATATCTTGAGTCTAGCAGGGCTTCTCACCTTAGCATGGCTTGCTTTTGATGAGGCAAGTTCATTCAGAAGTTGCTGGAATGTTTGTGAAAATAAATCGTCATAAACTATACTTTAGATTTCCAAATGTATTTATACATGTTATAGTGATTCTTTTGTTTGGAAGGGAAACATTTCAAACATTACATGTGCATATAGTTTTCCAAGACAGTCAAAACTTTGGGTCAAGCTGAGCTTTTGGTCATCATTGAAAAAGACTTTCAAGTCATCTTTGAAAAATTTCATCTCAAAAATGCCCCTTAGTAAATGCCAAGACTACATTGCTTATAAACAATGCCTTTAATTGTTCTGGTCCAAATGCCAATGATCACTAGATCTCTTTGAGTTCAGTACTTGCTTGCAAATGTAACTTGGAGAAGAAAGTTATTGATTAAAAAGTATTCAAAGCAGGTAATATCTTGGCTAAGGAAGATTAACCTCTCTTAGATAGTGAGGCCCATCTTGTAAGAATCCTTGGGCTTGGGTAGGGCCAGTGGGACAAATGTCTTGGAGGAGGCAAAATGAGCAAAGAAAAGGAGAAGACTGGGGGGGGGGGGATAAAGCCAGCTGTGGTGGTCATGTCTGTGAGTCCCAGTTCTGGGGGAGCAGAGGCAGGAGGACCAGCCGGCCTTTGGCACATGGGTTGAAGCCAGCTAGAGTTACATGAGACCCTGTCTCAAAAACTATGAGTAAGTAAATAGAAGAGGAATCATTAAGTAGCTAAAGCACTTTTTAGAAATACTAGTGAAGCCGGGCGTTGGTGGCGCACGCCTTTAATCCCAGCACTCAGGAGGCAGAGGCAGGCGGATCTCTGTGAGTTGGAGACCAGCCTGGACTACCAAGCGAGTTCCAGGACAGCCTCCAAAGCCACAGAGAAACCCTGTCTCGAAAAACCAAAAAAAAAAAAAAAAAAAAAAAAGAAACACTAGTGAAGACCCCAGAGATCTTTTCCAATGGGTGAAAGGCCTCATATCCTCTGTTCCTAACTTAGCGTAGGCTATGTGTTGAGTGTCTTGTCTCTAAGACAAGAGAAATTCTGGGGACTGGTGAGGAAACTCTGGCTCCTCAAAGAGTCACATGCACCTTTAATTCGGGTCACCTCTGCTTCTCTTAATGACCTAAGAAGCAAATTGTTGGAAGGCAAGTTTTTGATCAAATGCAAAATATTGTCCCTGTAATATGATGGAGCCTACAGGCAGGACACTGTGTCTCCCACGCTGTGTCATTTCCTTGGAGCCCTGCACAGTGTGAACAAGCTCACTTTCACTTTTCCTCTCCTTTGGAATTTGCATTTTGGCTCATCAAGGCATCCTTTTTCCTGGCAACCCTGAGACCACATGTGACTTCACAAAAGCTTTGTGAATCGATGCCAGATGGCTATCCTGAAGCCAAGTCTCCTCTAAAACATCCCAGTCCAGAGAACCCAAGTGGCTACAGAGAGGAAATGATAGCCCAGCATATTAGCTGCCCACAACAGAATCCAGATGGAGCTACCTCAGACCTTAAGGCAGTGTATGGCTAACTGGAAATGGTCCTCTAGTCAAGACAGATATCTGTATGCCTTTGAGAACCCTGATACTCAGAGCCTGATTCACTCACCAACTATAAATTTGAGTAATAACACAGACTGAGGGTTGGTAGGGTGGTTAAATAAAATATTATCCAACAAGTATCTGGGATGGCAGGGAGTTTTCAGTAGGTGAGAATGATGATCATGACCAGACTCCCAAGGTCCTTTGTTGATTTTTCTAGCTCAGGTCTCTGCTACAGAAAGCCTTCAGAGACATTCAACAGTGACACATGGGATGGTAACCATGAATACAGAGAACAATTAGTTGACACTCAAACAGGAAAGTAAGAAAGGGTAATGTCAGGTCGCTTACTCTGTCCAGCAAGGAGGGGAGGTATCTTCCAATGATTACGCAGCCTGGAGACACATTAGAAATGAAAGGGTGAAGCCTGGGATTGGAGAATTTCGGTGAGGGTGAAACAGTACCATATTAGAGTCGTCCAAGGGTTTACAAGGAAGTCCTAATGAATTTAACTCCCACAAATATTCTGTGGGGGAAAAGAAATGTTTCAGTTTTTTCTTAAGAGGGAACCGAGGCACTGAAGAGTTAAGCAACATGCCCGGGGTTAGTGGCCTTGCATCAGGAACCCAGTCCTAACTGATTTGTCTCCAGAGTTCTTTACAACACGACAAGAAAGGATTTGTTTTAGCCCATAAGGTTGCATGTTATCAGACCCAAGAAATCTAGAACGCTAGAAAGTACAAAAGGGAGTAGTGCTGGGGTAGGTACTTACAGCAAAATCCGAGACTTGAAAGGAAGCAATCCTGCAGGATGGAGAATGTCTTCAGCCAGACACCATAGTCCCAGTTATGTCTCTATGCACATGGACAGGACAATGAGTAGACAGAGGCATGGAACAAGAAAGGGAAACGAGTGGCTATTACATCTCTGGCCTTGATATCAAGATGGCTGTTCTCAATCCATGTGGCTGTGTAACGATGAGTCAACTTCAACCGGTAATGTTTCCAGGTAGGAAAACAAGGTGTCATGCCAAGACCTGTAGCTCATTATACAGGCAGGCAGGCAGGCAGGCAGGCTGGTTAGAATCAGGTCTCCAGCTCGGCGGTATATGTTCTGGATCATGCTAGCTTTACCTTGCCTAAGGGTTTCCTCACATTGAGTTCATGTGTAGACTACATGAGACATAGGAACAGATCAGTAATCTCTGCGTGGATTGCCTAAACGATTAATTTAGGGAACATAGCTCTAGCAGTCATTGTCAGTACCCGTGACAGACACTTGTATTTCATGGTGGAGCTACTGAAGTTGTCTTAACATATGATTTCCATCCAACACTATTTAAGATTATGATACTTGTTAGCCTAGTCATTACATGTTACTATTGAATGCATTAATAAAGAAGCACACAACTTGCAGTAACAAAAATTGTTCACATTTTTTTGTGGTGTTGGAGATCAAATTCATGGCTTTGCATATTCTAGAAAAATGCTTTACTACTGAGCTACACCCCAGTTCATTAAAAACATTTTCTGATAACATTGCTTTAACTGGCTTTTTCTCATAGAACTATACACTTTCCCTCAGATATCTCTTGTTTTAATTGATTTATTTAATATTTTCCCAAATGGCAAAGTTTGTACATATTTATTATACACATTTGTGATTATTTTAAAATATGCATGCATTATAAGAAGGCTACATTAACCTCACTAACACACTCATAACTTTATCTACTTATCTTTTTCAAGGTGAGATCACCTAAAATCTGTTCTTGTAAGAACTTTCACGAGTACATTCCATTATTGTGAAATATAGTCCCCATGTTGCGCAGTAGATTTGTTCAACTTTTAGACCAATTTAACTTAAATTTTAAGGTCTTTGACCACTATCTCCCCTAATTTCTCCCACTTCACTTTGTGCTTTTTATTGAAGCATGCTATTTTGAGAAGGATCTCATGGGTGTAGTCTCCTTGCCAAGGGGCCCATGGCACACACACACATACAAGGCTGTGGGCTCCTGGCCAGTTGATGAGAGCAGGGCATTATGTCTTTGAGACTGGAATATGTTAAATCGTATCACACGCTCCTTCAAAAGACAAAACAAAATAAAACAAGTCCTCAAAGCCATCCAACAAATACTCTAGGACAGTGGTTCTCAACATTCCTAGCGCCCGGGACCCTTTAATACAGTCCCTCATGTTGTAGCCACCCCCATAAC